GCACCATGTTCAGTGTTGTGAACTGCACCATGTTCACTGTTGTGAACAGCACCATGTTCAGTGTTTGTGAACAGCACCATGTTCACTGTTGTGAACAGCACCATGTTCACTGTTGTGAACAGCACTATGTTCATGTTGTGAACAGCACCATGTTCATTGTTGTGAACAGCACATGCTTCACTGTTGTGAACAGCACCTGTTCAGTTTGTGAACAGCACCATGTTCACTGTTGTGAACAGCACATGTTCAGTATTGTTGTGAACAGCCACCATGTTCACAGTTGTGAACTGCACCATGTTCACTGTTGTGAACAGCACTATGTTCACTGTGTGAACAGCACCATGTTCATTGTTGTGAACAGCACCATGTTCACTCTTGTGAACTGTACCATGTTCTCTGTTGTTAACTGTCCCATGTTTACTGTTGTGAAATGTACCATGTTCATGTTGTTAACTGTACCATGTTTATGTTGTGAAACTGTACCATGTTCATGTTGTGAACAGCACCATGTTCACTCTTGTGAACTGTACCATGTTCATGTTGTTAACTGTACATGTTTACTGTTGTGAACTGCACCATGTTCCACTGGTTGTTAACTGTACCATGTTTACTGTTGTGAACTGTACCATGTTTATGTTGTGAACGTACCATGTTTCACTGTTGTGAACTGTAACGATGTTCACTGTTGTTACCTGACCACGTTTTACTGTTGTGAACTGTACCATGTTCACTGTTTGTGAACAGCACATGTCACTTTAGATGAACAGTACCATGTTCATGTTGTTAACTGTACCATGTTTACTGTTGTGAACCGTACAATGTTCACTCATTGTGAAGAGCACCATGTTCACTCTTGTGACTGCACCATGTTCACTATTGTTAACTGTACCATGTTCACTGTTGTGAACAGACACCATGTTCATGTTGTGAGAGCCCCTTGTTCACTGTTCGTGAACAGCCATGTTCACTGTTGTGAACTGTACCATGTTCACTGTTGTGAACAGCACCCATGTTCACTATTGTGAAACTGGTACCATGTTCATGTTGTATAACTGTACCATGTTTACTGTTGTTCTGAACGTACCATGGTCACTGTTGTGAACAGGCACATGTTCATGTTTGTGAACAGCACCATGTTCACTCTTGTGAACTGATTTACCATGTTCAATGTTGTTAAACTGATACCATGTTTACTGTGTGGAAACAGCACCAGTTCACTGTGCGAACAGCACATGGTTCACTTTGTGAAACTGTACATGTTCATTGTTGATTAACTGTTCCATGTTTACTGTTGTCAAAACTGTACCATGTTCACTGTTGTTTAACTTTTACCATGTTCAATTGTTGATAACTGTACCATGTTAACGTTGTGAAATGTACATTTTCACTGTTGCGACAGCCCATGTTCACTGTTGTGAACAGCACTATGTTCACTGTTGTGAACAGCCCCATGTTCCTGTTGTGAAAAAGGCCCCATGTTCCTGTTGTGAACTCTACCATGTTCAGTGTTGTTAAACTGTTCCATGTTCACTGTTGTAAAATTGTATATGTTCACTGTTGTGAACAGCCCCATGTTCACTGTTGTGAAAAGCCCCTTGTTCACTGTTGTGAAACTCTACCATGTTCACTTTGTTAAACTGTTTCCATGTTCCACTGTAGTAAATTGTATCATGTCACTATGTGAACAGGCCCCATGTTCACTGTTGCGGAAACAGCCCCATGTTCACTGTTGTGAACTGGGCATGTTCTCTGTGTTAAACTGTACACTGGTCATGTTGTGACTGTACCAAGTTCATGTTGTGAAACGCACCATGTTCACTGTTGTGAACAGCACCATGTTCACTGTTTTGAACAGCACCATATCATTGTTGTGAAAGGCACCATGTTCAATGTTGTGACAGCTCCATGGTCCACTGTTGTGAACTGTATCATGTTCCACTGTTGTGAACTGTACCATAGTCGCTGGTAAAGTGAACTGTATCATGTTCACTGTTGTGAACAGCACCATGTTAACTTTTGTGAGCTGTACCATGTTCACTGTGTTAAACTGCACCATGTTCAACCGTTGTTACTGCCAACCATGTTCACTGTTGTTAACTGCACCATGTTCACTGTTGTGAACTGTTACCATGTTCACTGTTGTGAACAGACCCCATGTTCACTGTGTGAAGTGTTCCATGTTCACTGTTTTGTGACGACATGTCCACTGTTGTGAACTGTACCATGCTCACTATTGTTAAGTGCACCATGTTCATTGTTGTGAATGTACCATGTTCACTGTTTGTGAACAGCACCATATTCATGTTTTGAACTGTACCGTGTTCATGTCGGTTTTTAACTGTACCATGTTCACTGTTGTGAACTGTACCATGGTCTGTTTGTGAAACTGTTCCATGGTCACTGTTGTGAAACTGTACCATGTTCACTGTTGTGAACTGTTACCTGTTCACTGTTTGTGACTGTACCATGTTCACTGTTGTGAACTGTACCAATGTTCACTATTTGTGAACAGCCCCATGTTCACTGTTGTGAACTGTATCATGTTCCACTGTTGTGTATGTACACATGGTTCACTGTTGTGAAACAGCCCCGATGTTCACTGTTGTGAACTGTACCATGTTACTGGTGTGAACAGCACCATGTCACTATTGTGAACAAGCACCATGTTCACTGTCGTTGAACTGTACCATGTTCACATGTTGTGACTGTACCATGTTCACTGTTCGTGACTGTACCATGTTCACTGTTGTGAACAGCACCATGTTCTTGGTTGTGAACGCACCATGTTCCCTGTTGTTAACGCCCCATGTCCTCTGTTGTGAACGTTTCATGTTCACTGTTGTAAAATGTTACCATGTTCCTGTCGTGAACTGCCCCATGGTTCGCTGTTTGTGAACTGTATCTTGTTCACTGTGTGTAAGGGTACCAGGTGATAGGGGGGGGGGTCTTATGATAAATGGGGCTAAGGAGGATAGCGTCGGGGGTTAGTCCCTAACCGGGTCCATGGTGCACGGTGCTCGACATATACAAATGTAACATGTGTGCACGTGTTGCCTTGTAACTGCCCCATGTTCATCTGGTTCTTGTGGAACTGGCTGCCGATGTTTTCACTCGTTGTAGCTCTGTACCATGCTTCAAACTGTTATTTCTTATTAGGGGTACGGGTTCCATAGTAAATATGTTTCACTGGGGGATCGGTGAGCTATGTGTGGTCCCGGGGAGGCCCGTATTTATAGTGAGTTTTGGTCATAATTTGAAATGTCCGTATTAGCGGAACGCCTGTAAAGTGAAACGCCCGTAAAGCGGGGCCTTCCTGGTACAGGTATACCTCACTTTTATTTATTGCTTTTCAGTTATATTCGTGTTATTAATTTTCGGCGGTCATTTTTTTACCCATGCTCAGTCTGTTTACAGCTGTTTGTCTTTGTCTGTGTTTGTTACTATGGCAAATTTCAAAAAATTTAAAACTTTTACTTGTGCTAGTGTTGGTAATGAAATTATTAATTACAGTAATGGCTAGTGAAAAGAAGTCACAAAGCCTCCTACTTTAAATCAAAGCTAGAAAATTATCAGGTGCTTTAGTAGAAAGGCATGTCAAAGTCAAGATTAGGCCATAAAGCTAGGTTTTGAAGTGCAATCACAAACAGTTAGCACAGTTAGCTGAACTTGAAAAAATTAAAAGTTATATTAAAGTGATAAGCGAGTGAGGACTACATTATTGTCGATGTGGGAAAGCTTTAGTAGATCAGTGAAGAAAGCTTTTGGTAGATCATACAGCCATATTGTTCCTTTAAGCCAACGCATATTCCCAGATGGCTAGGACCTAACTCTCATCAAATCTTTGAAGGCTGAAAAGAACCGAAACAGCTATAGAAGAGATGTTTGAGCTAGACGAGTGTGGTTCATTGAAGTATTAGAAAGAAAGACTTTCCTACAGAATGTGCCAAGATGCAAACAGCTAGCTGCCTTTGTAGCATGCTATGGGGAAAATCCTGTCACCAAAATGAATCCCCAGTCATGAAGCAAACTCTTATTGTCTTGTATTAAGTGCCACAGCCACCCCAACCTTCAACAGCAAGAGCTTACTATTCAGTAGCCTTCACCATTAGCATGAGGACTTAAATATTTCAACCCCTTGACTGTCGCACAGCCCCATATTCCTGAGGTGTCTCCTGGTGGGCGTCGAAAAATTTTGAAAAAAAAAAAAAATTCTTATGAAATGATTTCCCCTACTTTAAGCCCATTTTACAAGGTTCCTTTCATAGTAAAACCAATCAAAATCACCTCTATTTCTATTATAATTTTCCATTCTATCAAATGAGATCAAGAAGAAACGGAATACCACCATAAACTACTTGTACGAAAATTTACCACAAGTCAGCGTTTTAATCCAAAAACATGGGTCAGAGTGCTTTTTTTTTTGTCCTACATTTATGTACTGAGTGCTGCGAGGATTTTTTTTTTATGGTTGAACAATGACCACACAGACCCATTCTTCTCACGTTGGGCTGCCTGTCCTACCAGCTCTTTCTCCTGCTTGATTTGAAGTTAGCTGCTAGAATTTTTGATATAGGTATGTCAAGCACGGTGGCTCGAAGACGTACATATGCGACCAAAACATCGAGGGTTGAAGCTAGGAATACAGTACTTTTCAGTAATCACTGGCCGTTTATCCCACTGTTGGCAGAGTGGTCCCAAAAAGAAAAAAAACGAAGTTTATCTTTTTTAACTTCCAGTATGTATACGGGAGAGGGTGTTACTAGCCCCTTCGCTCCCGGAAATGTGGAGTCGTCTCTTATGACATGCATGGCTTAGGAGGAAGAAAAGAATACTGGTCCATTTCTCCAGTACTGTACAGTAGCTGTTATTTTTTATGTTACTTTTGCATATTTTTTTTTTTAGAACCTCTTGCATCTTAATAAATGTTAGAGTAAACTGGCTTAGGTTTTTTATAGGCAACTGGTCAAATAGAAAAATAAAAGAAAGTCTAGTGCCAGAACCTTCAAAGTATTAGCCATCAGAAAAAAATGAGGTAGGGAGTTAAAGTAAATATTTTTTAATACAGGAAGGCCCCACTTATACGGCGGGTTAGGTTCCAGGCTACCGCCGTAAAGCGGAAACCGCCGTAAAGTGGAACACCTTTTTTTCCACTTAAAAATGCATACAAACACTAGATAACAAGTTTACACTAACATATATTAAGTTAGCAATAGAACCAGGCATCAAAAAACAATAAAAAAGTACAATACACACATAGTGCACTCATTACTTACCTTAAAATATTTATAGTCTTAATCTAGGGTGAGACAAGTAGTATTTATTGTAAGAAATCAAGTGTGGTATGTATTGTAATAAGCCAGGCTACCTTACCAGGCCACCCCACCCACACATAGTTATGTAAACAAACCAGGCTCCCACATCTTATATTTATGTTTATTTATTCTATTGTGGGGTGTATTTATCATCTTTTTATGTTATGTATCGTGTTTATTATATAATTTTGAAAAAAATATCATGGCTGGATTAATGAAAATGTGTATATTACCGTAATATACGACATTTAATGAGACTCAGTATTGTTATTATCACCACTTGTGCAAGTCGTCTGCTCACATCTCACATTTGTTTATTTATTCTACTGTGGGGTGTATTTATCTTATTTATATGTTATGCATCGTGTTTATTATATAATTTTGAAAAAAGTATCATGGATGGATTAATGAAAATGTGTATATTACCGTAATATACGACATTTAATGAGACTCAGTATTGTTATTATCACCACTTGTGCAAGTCGTCTGCTCACATCTCACATTTGTTTATTTATTCTACTGTGGGGTGTATTTATCTTATTTATATGTTATGCATCGTGTTTATTATATAATTTTGAAAAAAATATCATGGATGGATTAATGAAAATGTGTATATTACCGTAATATACGACATTTAATGAGACTCGGTGACTATTGTTATTATGGCGTCACTTGTGGAAGTCGTCTGCTCACATCTCACATTTATGTTTATTTATTCTACTGTGGGGTGTATTTATCTTATTTATATGTTATGCATCGTGTTTATTATATAATTTTGAAAAAAATATCATGGATGGATTAATGAAAATGTGTATATTACCGTAATATACGACATTTAATGAGACTCGGTGAGTATTGTTATTATGGCGTCACTTGTGGAAGTCGTCTGCTCACATCTCACATTTATGTTTATTTATTCTACTGTGGGGTGTATTTATCTTATTTATATGTTATGCATCGTGTTTATTATATAATTTTGAAAAAAATATCATGGATGGATTAATGAAAATGTGTATATTAACGTAATATATGACATTTAAATGACTCGATGTATGTAAGTTTATTTAGGTACAGGTATACATAAGTATAATTATCAGAGTATATATAAAATATGAAATAACTTTTAAAAACATTTGAAATTTTGGAGTTTCCAGACAAAATGGAGAGACTTAGTGCTTACTGAGCTCATGGAGAATGTAAACAAACAGGGTGGGGCACGGTGACCGTATTAGAAAGTCAGGTGGGGGGAGCCGTATAGTGAGTTTTGGTCATAATTTGAAATGTCCGTATTAGCGGAACGCCGTAAAGTGAAACGCCGTAAAGCGGGGCCTTCCTGTACAGGTATACCTCACTTTAAGGTTATGCTTTTCAGTTATATTCGTGTTTATTATTTTCGGCGTCATTTTTTTACCCATGCTCAGTCTGTTTACAGCGTTTGTGCTTTGTCTGTGTTGTACTATGGCAAATTTCAAAAATTTTCAAACTTTTTACTTGTGCTAGTGTTGGTAATGAAATTATTAATTACAGTATAATGGCTAGTGAAAAGAAGTCACAAGCCTCCTACTTTAAATCAAAAGCTAGAAATTATCAGGCTTAGTTAGAAAGGCATGTCAAAGTCCAAGATAGGCCATAAGCTAGGTTTGGTGCATCCAACAGTTAGCACAGTAGTGAACTTGAAAAAAATTAAAAGTTAATATTAAAGTGATAAGAGAGTGAGACTACATTATTGTCGATGTGGAGAAAGCTTTAGTAGATCAGTGAAGAAAGCTTTTGGTAGATCAGACCAGCCATATTGTTCCTTTAAGCCAAGGCATAATCCAGAGCTAGGACCTAACTCTCTTCATATCTTTGAAGGCTGAAAAAGACGAAACAGCTATAGAAGAGATGTTTGAAGCTAACAGAGGTTGGTTCATGAAGTTAAGGAAAGAAGCCTTTTCCACAAAAACGTGCAAGATGAAACAGCTAGTGCTGTAGCATGCTATGGAGAAATCCTTCACAAAATGAAACCTCAGTCAATGAAGCAAACTTCATTATTGTCTTGTATTAAGTGCCACAGCCACCCCAACCTTCAACAGCAAGTAGCCTTACTATTCAGTAGCCTTCACCATTAGCATAGGACTTAAATATTTCAACCCCTTGACTGTCGCAGCCCCAAATCCTGAGGTGTCTCCTGGGGTCGAAAAATTTTGAAAAAAAAAAATTCTTATGAAATGATTTCCCCTACTTTAAGCTCCATTTCAAGGTTCTTTTCATAGTAAAACCAATCAAAATCACCTCTATTTCTATAATATTTTCCATTCTATCAAATGAGATCAAGAAAACGGGAATACAACCATAAATACTGTACGAAAATGTACCACCAAGTCAGCGTTTTAATCCAAAAACATGGTCAGAGTTCTTTTTTTTTCTCATTATGTACTGCGTGCTGCAGGATTTTTTTTTATGGTGAACACTGACCACACAGACCCATTCTCTCACGTGTGGGCCTACCAGCTTTCTCCTGCTTGATTTGAAGCTGCTAGAATTTTTGAGTATATATATGTCAAGCACGGTGGCTCGTAAGACGTACATATGCGACCAAAACAATCGAAGGGTTGAAGCTAGGAATACAGTACTTTTCAGTAAACTGGCCGTATCCCACTGAGGCAGAGTGGCCCAAAAAGAAAAACGAAAGTTTCTCTTTTTTAACTTCAGTAATGTATACGGGAGAAGGGGTTACTAGCCCCTCGCTCCCGGAATGTGAGTCGTCTCTTATGACATGCATGGCTTACGGAGGAAGAATTCTGTTCCATTTCTCCAGTACTGTACAGTAGCATATTTTTTATTTTACTTTTGCATCATTTTTTTTTTTAGACCTTGCATACTTAATAAATGATAGAGTAAACATGGCTTTAGGTTTTTATATGCACTGGCAAATAGAAAAAAAGAAGTCTGTGCTTTGCTTGCAAGACGATGGTCTGGAACCTAACCTGCTGTATTAGTGAGGTACTTATGTTTGCATAAACTTTTTACTATTTCTGGCTGCAGGGGTTGACTTGCAGCTCCTGGCCCTGCCTCTCGGCTGCTCTCATACGGTCTTATTTTCTGGCTTCATAGGCATTATTACAAGAGGGCCCCAATTATATGGTGGGTTAGGTTTCAGGTTACCACTGTAAAGCAAAAATCACTGTAAAGTGACTCACTATTTTGCACTATTAAATGCATATAAATGCTAGATAATATGTATACGCTATTATATATTAACCCTTTGACTGTCGCAACCCGAAATCCTAAAGTTTGTCTTGTGTCGCAAAATTTTTGAAAAAAAAATTTTTACGAAATGATGAAGAATCTTTTCCCAATTCCTACACAGATGACAGCAAGGAAATGAGTGAGCTACTCAAGTCCCAATATGACTCAGTTTTTAGCAAGCCGCTAACCAGACTGAGAGTCGAAGATCAAAATTAATATTTTATGAGAGAGCCACAGAATTTGGTTAACACAAGCCTATCTGATGTTATCCTGACACCAAATGACTTCGAACAGGTGATAAATGACATGCCCATGCACTCTACCCCAGGGCCAGACTCATGGAACTCCGTGTTCATCAAGAACTGCAAGAAGCTCCTATCTCGAGCTTTTACCATCCTATGGAGAGGGAGCATGCACATGGGGGTCGTCCCACAGTTACTAAAAACAACAGACATAGCCCCACTCCACAAAGGGGGCAGTAAAGCAATAGTAAGGAACTACAGACTGATAGCACTAACATCCCATATCATAAAAATCTTTGAAAGGGTCCTAAGGAGCAAGATCACCACCCATCTAGAAACCCATCAATTACACAACCCAGGGCAACATGGGTTTAGAACAGGTCGCTCCTGTCTGTCTTAGCTACTGGATCACTACGACAAGGTCCTAGATGTACTAGAAGACAAAAAGAATGCAGATGTAATATATACAGACTTTGCAAAAGCCTTCGACAAGTGTGACCATGGTGTAATAGCGCACAAAGTGCGTGCTAAAGGAATAACAGGAAAAGTTGGTAGATGGATCTATAATTTCCTTACAAACAGAAAATAGAGTAGTAATCAACAGAGTAAAGTCCAAGGCGGCTACGGTGAAAAGCTCTGTTCCACAAGGCAGAGTACTCGCTCCCATCTTGTTTCTCATCCTCATATCTGACATAGACAAAGATGTCAGCCACAGCACCGTGTCTTTCTTTGCAGATGACACCCGAATCTGCATGACAGTGTCTTCCATTGCAGACACTGCAAGGCTCCAGGCGGACATCAACTGAATCTTTCAATGGGCTGCAGAAAACAATATGAAGTTCAACGATGAGAAATTTCAATTACTCCGATATGGTAAACATCAGGAAATTAAAACTTCATCAGAGTACAAAACAAATTCCGGCCACAAAATAGAGCGGAAAACCAACGTCAAAGACCTGGGAGTGATCATGTCTGAGGATCTCGCCTTCAAGGACCATAACATTGTATCAATTGCAGCTGCTAGAAAAATGACAGGATGGATAATGAGAACCTTCAAAACTAGGGATGCCAAGCCCATGATGACACTCTTCAGGTCGCTTGTTCTATCTAGGCTGGAATATTGCTGCACACTAACAGCACCTTTCAAGGCAGGTGTAATTGCTGACGTAGAAAATATACAGAGAACCTTCACGGCGCATAACGGAGATAAAACACCTCAATTACTGGGAGCGCTTGAAGTTCCTGAACCTGTATTCTCTGGAATGCAGGCAGGAGAGATACATGATTATATACACCGGGAAAACCAGAGGGACTAGTACTGAACTTGCACACGAAAATCACTCACAATGAAAGCAAAAGACTTGGCAGACGATGCAACATCCCCCCAATGAAAAGCAGGGGTGTCACTAGCACATTAACCCTTTGACTGTTTCAGGCCCCTCTTTGAAACTGTCATTCTATGTCGCTCAATTTTTGAAAAAAAAAATTATTTTTTCTCATTAAATGATAGAGAATCTTTTCCCGATGGTAATGATACCAAAAGTTCGAAATTTGGTCGAAAACTCATGGAATTATGCTCCCGCGAAGTTAGGGGTCTCGGCGACATATGCGTATCGGCGATTTTGCCGACTTTGAGCCCTATTTTCAGCCAATTCAATTGTTCCAGTTGACCAAACTCATAGCTATTTCTTTAGAACTCCATTTTATCTATCAGCTGAGTACAAGAAACCTCCCATTTACTAATTTGGACTACCCAATATGGTGGTCAGAAATTGGCAATTTGCCAATTTCACGCAAAATAAAAAAGATGCCAATTTCAAAATAGGGTCCAGAATAAACAAGGTAGACATTCGTGGCACTAAAATAACATATGCTCTGTTCATTAGTCACATCTCTAGGCCCCTCTTATATTATTATTGCTTTCTATTTTGATTTTTTATTCATACAAAAAAATACAAAATTTACTGTTATGCAGACGACTGCATTATTGTAAAAATGGTATAAATAATATCAGTGCACTAGTGAAAGAATATTAGACTCCCAGTTGACGTGTATTGGACGTGTGGTGTGATTTATTTACTCTTGAACATTGGTAAAAATCGAACATTTCCGCTACTTTGAGCTCAGTTTCAAGGTCGTTTTCATCGTAAAAGTAATGAAAATCATCTCTATTTCTATAATATGTTTTCCATTTTATCACCTAAGACCATGAAAACGCGAATACAACGGTAAATACTATACGAAAATACACCTCAAAGTCGGCGTTTTATTCCAAAAAAACGATCAGTTTTTTTTTCTCATTACGCAATGTGTGCTGCAGGATTTTTTTTATGTGGTGCACACTGACCACACAGACCCATTCTCTCACATGTGGGCCTACCAGCTTTCTCCCACTTGATTTGAAGCCGCTAGAATTATTGAGTATACGTCAGAAACATTGGCTCGTAAGACGTATTTATACGTCGAAAACAGTCAAAGGGTTAAGAGAGAATACAATAAGTGTCAGGGGTCCGAGACTGTTCAACTGCCTCCCAGCATACATAAGGGGGATTACCAATAGACCCCTGACAGTCTTCAAGCTGGCACTGGACAAGCACCTAAAATCGGTACCTGACCAGCCAGGCTGTGGCTCGTACTTTGGATTGCGTGCAGCCAGCAGTAACAGCCTGGTTGATCAGACTTTGATCCACCAGGAGGCCTGGTCACAGACCGGGCCACGGGGGCGTTGACCCCCGGAACTCTCTCCAGTTAAACTCCAGATGTTAATGATGCCAAAAGTACGAAATTTGATGGAAAACTTGCAGAATTATGCTCTCGCGAAGTTTGTGATCTCAGCGATGTTTACTCATTGGTGATTTCGCCCACTTTGAGCCCTATTTTTGGCCAATTCAAAGTGGGCGAAATTGCCGATTCGTAAATATCGCTTAGGTCGCTAACTTTGCGAGAGCGTAATTACGTAAGTTTTCCATCAAATTTCGTTCTTTTGGTGTCGTTACCACCGGGAAAAGATTCTTTATCATTTCACAGGATTTTTTTTTTTTTTCTCCAAAAAATTTTTTAGACACCAGGAGACACCTCAGGATTTGGGGTTGCAACAGTCAAGGGGTTAAAACACTTGAAATTCTGGAAAGTTTCAAAACGGAATTGAGAAAGACGGAGTTTATGGCAACATACTCAAACTCACTTTTAGAATTAAATATTATTATTATCATTATTATTTTTGTTTGTTTGTTTGTTCTTGTTTTTTAACAAGTCGGCTGTCTCCCACCGAGGCGTGGTGACCCAAAAAGAAAAAATCCCCAAAATGAAAATACTTTCATAATCATTCAACACTTTCACCTCACTCACACACAGAGTCTTCAGTAATGTGTATGTGGCATCAGTGTTTTGAGTGGGTGGCTGGATAGACATTACCTGTCCACTGGTTGTTGATGTGTTTTCATCTGACTTCGTGCATGTGTTTTCATCACCAATCAGACGCCTTGCCAATATTGTGTACAGGGTGTTTTCACATTAATGCAGTAGCCTATATAACAGCAATACTCCCAGGCTCACTATCCTCCTAAAAGCTCTTAGCATAAAGTTTACCAGTGGTAATGCAATTTTGAGGAAGCAGTGTAGCTGCTGCACTGCATTCAAAGGTAAAGATAGAACAGAGTAATGGGAGAGTTACATGGTTGGCATGAGCATTTGTAGTTGGAAGATGGTTTTAATGTCTTCTTCCAACACACCGGCCGTATCCCACCGAGGCAGGGTGGCCCAAAAGGAAAAACGAAAGTTTCTCCTTTTACATTTAGTAATATATACAGGAGAAGGGGTTACTAGCCCCTTCCTCCCAGCATTTTAGTCGCCTCTTGCAACACTCATGGCTTACGGAGGAAGAATTCTGTTCCACCTGCCCATGGAGGTAAGAGGAAATAAACAAGAACTAGAAAGAAAATAGAAGAAAACCCTGAGGGGTGTGTATATCTATGCTTGTACATGTATGTGTAGTGTGACCTAAACGTAAGTAGAAGTAGCAAGATGTACCTGAAATCTTGCATGTGTATGAGACAGAAAAAAAAAGACACCAGCAATCCTGCCATTGTGTAAAACAATTACAGGCTTCCGTTTTACACTCACTTGGCAGGATGGTAGTACCTCCCTCTGCGGTTGCTGACCACCACCTACTACCTTGTTTTGATGTGTTAGTAATAATAACGGACAATGTTTTAACTATTGCAGTGGACTTTTCCATTGTTTCCATATCTACTAAACCTGCTAATTTTTTTGTATTTCCTATGTCCTTTATATAGAAGTGCTTTGTCCTCTCTTCTTTTCATTTTGTAGAGTATGCTATCAAGTATAATTGTGATTATTTTCTTATCTTTCAGAGGAAGAATGTGCTCAGTATCTCCAGTTACATCCAGTGGGACAACATCTCCACCTGTGGCTGTCATCACATCCACTAATGTAGATGCTGTTTGTGAGAAGATAGATTGTACTTCTTTAGTACAAAGCTCTGAAATGCCTAATGGTAAGTCTCTCATGTGAAAGACTCAGTGTGAAAACAAACCTAAGTTGTAGCTCTTTTTAGAATTTAATTATTATAATTAAGTCATGACTTGGTAAAGTTCTACTTGGTAAAACATTGTCCTAATAAAAAAATATTCTTCAAATTGTCTTTGTCTTCACTTATCAGCAATACATTTTATAAAAAAAAAAAAATAAGTTAACAAGCTAGTAGTCTGCCACTGAGGCTGGGTGCAAGGAAACAAAAAAAAACTATCATTTACACTATCACTGTCTTAGCAGAGGCGTGCAGATATGACAGTTTAGATGCCACTCGAAACAGCAGATATTTCTATCTATTGCAATAAAGATACACTACCGTGGAACCTTAGTTTTCGTGATTAATCTGTTCGAAAAAGTTTGACAAAAACTGAATCGTATGAAAACTGAAGCAATATTTCCCATAAGAAGTAATGTAAATCCAGTTAATCCATTCCAGACACCCAAAAATATTAAAAAAAAAATACATTTTATAGAGAATACAGAAAACAGTGAGAAATAAATATAAGTGACTAATGCAATGGAAAAATGACAATTTAACAACTTTTACCTTTATTGAAGACTCTTTGTTGGCATATGGAAGATGACAAGGAGGGGAGAGGGAGAAGGAGAGGTTAGTGTTTGGAAGGGAAATCCCCATCCATAAGGAATTCAAGTACCAAGGCCTTATCCTGGGTTACTTCCCCTCTTTGTCTTTTACTGGCACCAGGACCAGCTTGAGTCACTGGACCCGTGTCACACAAAAAAAATGTCCAGAGAGGTCCGTTTCTAGTGTCTCTTTAAGATTTACCTAAAATGGGACAAGGCATTGTCATTGAACATGTTGCAGACATGGCTTGCAACAGCTTTGTGAAGGTGATATTTCTCCACAAAACTTTGCAACTCATTCCACTTTGCACACATGTCCTTTATTACTCAAGAAGGCACATTCTTCCCTCTCTTCCTCCTCTGAAGCAATTTCCTCAGCTGCTGTTTGTTGCTGTTCCAGTTGAAGGTCTTGCAGCTCTTCACAATAGATTCCATAACAGTTGTAGGGTCATCAAGGTCAGGCTCAAACCCTTCAAAATCACGAACACATGGGATGCTTTGTGTGGGCGCTCGATTCCGGGAAATGAGTGGCCGAGTTGTCACGCAGGCAGGCGGACGAGTTTGGTACGGACCATCTTTAACTGTATGAAGACCGAGCGGATGTACGAAAACTGGGACAAAATTTTGATAAAAAAAAATTGGTGAAAACCGAATTGTACAAAAACTAGGTCATACGAAAACAGAGGTTCCATTGTATTTTTAAAGAGCATCTGAAACATTTTTTTCTTACAACAGCTCTAGGGCATATTTTTGATTGCTAAGTTTTGAATACAGTACATAATCATAATCCATTTCCCATGAAATGCCGTGAAATTCCTTCATTTTAAATTGTTTATAACCACATTCACTGTTTTAATAGTAGAAAAATATAGGAATGGCTGACACTGCAATTATGAAGATCCTCTGCATTTTGTTGCATGTTGTCACTACTTTACCTTTAGAATATCTTCAGTGATTGATGAATATAGCTCAGTATTTTCGTACAGTTGCACAGTGCCAAGTGAGTGTAAAGCTAAGCCTGTAATTGTTTTACAAGTTGGTAGGATTGCTGGTGTCTTTTGTCTGTCTCATAAATATGCATGATTACAGATACGTCTTGCTACTTCTACTTACACTTAGGTCACACTAAACATACATGTACACGTTTATTTATACACACACATCTGAGTTTTCTTTGATTTTATCTTAGTTCTTGTTCTTATTACTTTTCCTTTTATGTCCATGGGGAAGTGAAATAAGAATTTTTCCTCCGTAAGTCATGCGTGTTGTAAAAGTCAACTAAAATGCCAGGAACAATGGGCTAATAACCCCTTTTCCTGTAATAATTACTGAAAAGAATAAGAAAATTGTCAAAGTGGGAAGTCTGAATGTGCGTGGATGTTGTGCAAATGATAAGAAAGAGATGATTGTGGATGTTATGAATGAGAAGAAGCTGGATGTCCTGGCTTTAAGTGAAACAAAGCTGAAGGGGGTGGGAGAGTTTCAATGGAGAGGAATAAATGGGATTAGATCAGGGGTTTCAAATAGAGCTAAAGAAGGAATAGCAATAATGTTGAAAGATAAGCTATTGCAGGAAAAGAGGGACTAAAAATGTATTAATTCAAGGATTATGTGGAGTAAAATAAAGATTGGATGTGAGAAGTGGGTTATAGTAAGTGTATATGCACCTGGGGAAGAGACAAGTATAGACGAGAGAGAGAGATTTTGGGAAATGTTGAGTGAATGCGTGGGGAGTTTTGAACCAAGTGTGAGAGTACTTGTGGTTGGGAGGTTTAATGCTAAAGTGGGTAAAAATGTTGTGGAGGGAGTATTAGGTAAATTTGGGGTGCCAGGGGTAAATGTAAATGGGGAGCCTTTAATTGAGCTAAGTGTAGAAAGAGGTTTGGTAATAAGCAATACATATTTTATGAAAAAGAGGATAAACATACAAGGTATGATATAGCATGTAATAAAAGTAATTTGTTAGATTATGTATTGGTGTATAAAAGGTTGATGGGTAGGCTCAAGGATGTACACGTTTATAGAAGATCAACTGATATATCGGATCATTATTTAGTTGTAGCTACAGTTAGAATAAGAGGTAGATGGGATAAGAGGAAAATGGCAACAAGAAGTAAGAGGGAATTGAAAGTGTATAAACTAAGGGAGGAGCAAGTTCGGGTGAAATATAAGCAACTATTGGCAGAAAGGTGGGCTGGTGCAAGTATGAGTAGTGGGGGGGAGGGGTTGAAGAGGGTTGGAATAGTTTAAAAAATGCAGTATTAGAATGTGAGGCAGAAGTTTGTGGTTATAGGAGGGTGGGTGCAGGAGGAAAGAGGAGTGATTGGTGGAAAGATGAAATAAAGGGTGTGATAAAAGTGAAAAAGATAGCTTATGAGAGGTATTTACAAAGCAGAAGTGTTATAAGAAGAGTAGAGTATATGGAGAGTAAAAGAAAGGTGAAGAGAGTGGCGAGAGAGTGCAAAAGGAGAGCGGATGATAGTGGGAGAGGCACTGTCAAGAAATTTTAATGAAAATAAGAAAAAATTTTGAAGCGAGTTAGAAAAGTTAAAAAAGCCTAGGGAACGAATGGATTTGTCAGTTAAAAAGAGTGGGGGAGTTAGTAGATGAGGAGATGGAGGTATTGGGTAGATTGCGAGAATATTTTGAGGAACTTTTAAATGTCGACGAAGAAAGGGGGGCGGTAATTTCACACACTGGCCAGGGAGGTATACCATCTTTCAGGAGTGAAGAAGAGCAGGATGTGAGTGTGGGGGAGGGGTGTGAGGCATTACATAGAATGAAAGAGGGTAAAGCAGCTGGAACTGACGGGATCATGACAGAAATGTTAAAAGCAGGGAGGGACATAGTGTTGGAGTGGTTGGTATTTTTGTTAAATAAATGTATGAAAGAGGGGAAGGTACCTAGGGATTGGCAGAGAACGTGTATAGTCCCTTTATATGAAGGGAAGGGGGACAAGAGAGATTGTAAAAATTATAGAGGAATAAGTTTATTGAGTATGCCAAGAAAAGTGTACGGTAGGGTTATTATTGAAAGAATTAGAGGTAAGACAGAGAGTAGGATTTTGGATGAGCAAGGAGGCTTTAGAGTGGGTAAGGGATGTGTAGATAAAGTGTTTACATTGAAGCATATATGTGAACAGTATTTAGATAAAGGTAGGAAAGTTTTCATTGCATTTATTGATTTAGAAAATGTATATGATAGTTGATAGGGGAGCAATGTGGCAGATGTTGCAAGTATATGGAATAGGTAGTAAGTTGCTAAATGCTGTAAATAGTTTTTATGAGGATAGTGAGGCTCAGGTTAGGGTGTGTAGTAGAGAGGCTGATTACTTCCCGGTAAAAGTAGGTCTTAGACAGGTATGTGTAATGTCACCATGGTTGTTTAATATATTTATAGATGGGGTTGTAAGAGAAGTAAATGCTAGGGTGTTGGGGAGAGGGGTGGGATTAAATTATGGAGAATCAATTACGAAATGGGAGTTGACACAGTTACTTTTTGCTGATGATACAGTGCTTATGGGAAATTCTAAAGAAAAGTTGCAAAGGTTAGCGGACGAGTTTGGGAGTGTGTGTACAGGTAGAAAGTTGAAAGTGAACATAGAAAAGAGTAAGGTGATGAGGGGTAACAAATTATATAAAGAAAAATTGGAGGGAGTATGGAAGAAATGGGTGTTTTCAGATATTTGGGAGTTGATGTGTCAGCAGATGGGTTTATGAAGGATGAGGTTAACCATAAAATTGATGATGGAAAATAGGTGAGTGGTGCGTTGAGGTATATGTGGAGACAAAAAACGTCATTTATGGAGGCAAAGAAGGGAATGTATGAAGGTATAGTGGTACCAACTCTTATATGGGTGTGAAGCTTGGGTTGTAAATGCTGCAGCAAGGAGGCGGTTGGAGGCAGTGAAGATGTGTGGTGTAAATATTATGCAGAAAATTCGGAGTGTGGAAATTAGGAGAAGGTGTGGTGTTAATAAAAGTGTTAGTCATAGGGCTGAAGAGGGATTGAGGTGGTTTGGTCATTTAGAGAGAATGGATCAAAGTAGAATGACATGGAATGACATACATACATATATATATATATATTATATATATATATATATTATATATATATATAATTATTTTTTTTTTTTTTTCCAACAAGTCGGCCGTCTCCCCCCGAGGCAGGGTGGGCCCAAAAAAGAAAGAAAATCCCCCAAAAAGAAAATACTTTCATCATCATTCAACACTTTCACCACACTCGCACATTATCACTGTTTTTGCAGAGGTGCACAGAATACAACAGTCTAGAAGCATACACATATAAAGATACACAACATATCCCTCCAAACTGCCAATATCCCAAACCCCTCCTTTAAAGTGCAGGCATTGTACTTCCCATTTCCAGGACTCAAGTCCGACTATATGAAAATAACCGGTTTCCCTGAATCCCTTCACTAAATATTACCCTGCTCACACTCCAACAGATCGTCAGGTCCCAAGTACCATTCGTCTCCATTCACTCCTATCTAACACGCTCACGCACGCTTGCTGGAAGTCCAAGCCCCTTACCCACAAAACTCCTTTACCCCCTCTCTCCAACCCTTTCGAGGACGACCCCTACCCGCCTTCCTTCCCTATAGATTATATGCTTTCCATGTCATTCTACTTTGATCCATTCTCTCTAAATGACCAAACCACCTCAACAACCCCTCTTCTGCCCTCTGACTAATACTTTTATTAACTCCACACCTTCTCCTAATTTCCACACTCCGAATTTTCTGCATATATTTACACCACACATTGCCCTTAAACAGGACATCTCCACTGCCTCTAACCGTCTCCTCGTTGCTGCATTTACCACCCAAGCTTCACACCCATAAGAGTGTTGGTACTACTATACTTTCATACATTCCTTCTTTGCCTCCATAGATAACGTTTTTTGACTCCACATATACCTCAACGCACCACTCACCTTTTTTCCCTCATCAATTCTATGATTAACCTCATCCTTCATAAATCCATCCGCCGACACGTCAACTCCCAAGTATCTGAAAACATTCACTTCTTCCATACTCCTCCTCCCCAATTTGATATCCAATTTTTCTTTATCTAAATCATTTGACACCCTCATCACCTTACTCTTTTCTATGTTCACTTTCAACTTTCTACCTTTACACACATTCCCAAACTCATCCACTAACCTTTGCAATTTTTCTTTAGAATCTCCCATAAGCACAGTATCATCAGCAAAAAGTAACTGTGTCAATTCCCATTTTGAATTTGATTCCCCATAATTTAATCCCCCCCCTCTCCCAAACACCCTAGCATTACTTCCTTAACAACCCCATCTATAAATATATTAAACAACCATGGTGACATTACACATCCCTGTCTAAGACCTACTTTTACCGGGAAGTATTGTCCCTCTCTTCTACACACCCTAACCTGAGCCTCACTATCCTCATAAAAACTCTTTACAGCATTTAATAACTTACCACCTATTCCATATACTTGCAACATCTGCCACATTGCTCCTCTATCCACTCTATCATATGCCTTTTCTAAATCCATAAATGCAATAAAAACTTCCCTATCTTTATCTAAATACTGTTCACATATATGCTTCAATGTAAAACACCTGATCCACATCCCCTACCCACTCTAAAACCTCCTTGCTCATCCGCAATCCTACATTCTGTCTTACCTCTAATTCTTTCAATTATAACCCTACCGTACACTTTTCCTGGTATACTCAGTAAGCTTATTCCTCTATAATTTTTTACAGTCTCTTTTGTCCCCTTTCCCTTTATATAAAGGGACTATACATGCTCTCTGCCAATCCCTAGGTACCTTCCCCTCTTTCATACATTTATTAAACAAAGTACCAACCACTCCAACACTATATCCCCCCTGCTTTTAACATTTCTGTCATAATCCCATCAGTTCCAGCTGCTTTACCCCCTTTCATTTTACGTAATGCCTCACGTACCTCCCCCACACTTACATTCTGCTCTTCTTCACTCCTAAAGATGGTATACCTCCCTGACCAGTGCATGAAATTACTGCCTCTGTTTCTTCCTTAACATTTAAAAGTTCCTCAAAATTTCTCGCCATCTACCCAATACCTCCATCTCCCCATCTACTAACTCCCCTACTCTGTTTTTATATATATATATTTAATTAATTAATTATTATTATTATTATTATTATTATTATTATTATTATTATTATTATTATTATTATCACACTGGCGATTCCCACCAAGGCAGGGTGGCCTGAAAAAGAAAAACTTTCACATCATTCACTCCATCACTGTCTTGCCAGAAGGGTGCTTTACACTACAGTTTTTAAACTGCAACATTAACACCCCTCCTTCAGAGTGCAGGCACTGTACTTCCCATCTCCAGGACTCAAGTCCGGCCTGCCGGTTTCCCTGAACCCCTTCATAAATGTTACTTTGCTCACACTCCAACAGCACGTCAAGTATTAAAAACCATTTGTGTCTATTCACTCTTATCAAACTATGGCTCACGCATGCCTGCTGGAAGTCCAAGCCCCTCGCACACAAAACCTCTTTACCCCCTCCCTCCAACCTTTCCTAGGCCGACCCCTACCCCGCCTTGCTTCCACTACAGACTGATACACTCTTGAAGTTATTCTGTTTCGCTCCATTCTCTCCACATGTCCGAACCACCTCAACAACCTTCCTCAGCCCTCTGGACAACAGTTTTGGTAATCCCGCACCTCCTCCTAACTTCCAAACTACGAATTCTCTGCATTATATTCACACCACACATTGCTCTCAGACATGACATCTCCACTGCCTCCAGCCTTCTCTCACTGCAACATTCATCACCCATGCTTCACACCCATATAAGAGCATTGGTAAAACTATACTCTCATACATTCCCCTCTTTGCCTCCAGGGACAAAGTTCTTTGTCTCCACAGACTCCTAAGCGCACCACTCACCTTTTCCCCTCATCAATTCTATGATTCACCTCATCTTTCATAGACCCATCCACTGACACGTCCACTCCCAAATATCTGAATACATTCACCTCCTCCATACTCTCTCCCTCCAATCTGATATCCAATCTTTCATCACCTAATCTTTTTGTTATCCTCATAACCTTACTCTTTCTTGTATTCACTTTCAATTTTCTTCTTTTGCACACCCTACCAAATTCATCCACCAATCTCTGCAACTTCTCTTCAGAATCTCCCAAGAGCACAGTGTCATCAGCAAAGAGCAACTGAGACAACTCCCACTTTGTGTGATTCTTTATCTTTTAACTCCACACCTCTTGCCAAGACCCCCACGTACTAGTACGTCAAAAACCCTGGGTCGTAAGCTGAAACCCTCAAAGGGTTAATGGAAATGTCCAAATTAACGTAATATACATATGACATTTAATGCGCCCTAGAGATTACGTATTACACATGTATTATTAATATGGCGTCAAGAGTAGAGAGAGTGATTTTAATGTGTACCTGCAAACCAGCACAATGCATAGGTATATTTAGGTACAGGTATACATAAGTATATAATTATCAGCGTACATATAAAATATGCAGTAACTTTAAAACACTTGAAATTTTGGAAAGTTTCCAGACAGAGATGTGCTCACGGAGAATATAAGCAAACTGGGTGGGGCACGTTGTATTAGAAAGACCCAGAGCTGTATAGCAAGTTTTGGTCATAATTTGAAATTGCCATATTAGCGAATTGCCGTAGAGCTGGGCCCTACAATGCCTACTTTAACTGTTAAACTGGCCAAACGTAGATCTATGTTCATGTGCGTAGCTCTCCAATCTTTATTTTCCCCATTTGAAAGCACGTAAAAATAATGTAGATCTACGTTTGGAGCCCCCCCTGCACGTGAACGTAGATCTACGCTTGGACAGTTTAGGGGTTAAAGGAGGGGTTTGGGATATTGACAGTTTGGAGGGATGTCTAAACTGTCTTATCTGAGCATCTCTGCAAAGACATTGATTATGGATGAGTGATGGTAAAAGTGTTGAATGATGAAAGTTTTTTCTTTCTTTTTGGGTTGCCCTGCCTTGGTGGGAAATAGTCAATGTGTTAAAAAAAAGTTATTTGTCAGTTTGTTATTTGCCTTTTATATTCCTAATAAACTGTTTTATTTGCTAGATTTTTTGAAGTCTGCATTGGAAAATAAAATCGTTAAGAAAACTCTCGAAGGTTACAATTGTTTGATATGCTCCGCCTCCTGTAATGGTATAATTACTATATCGGATCATCTGACTGGCGACCAACACCATAAGAAACTAAGGTAATTTTATAGATACATCATTTTTTAAATAAATATGAGAATATTTATCAGTGAAAGAGGACTTAGAAATGTAGGGCAGTTAAAATCAAGAAAGACAGCAATATGAAGAGGAAGATGAGGTATTTCTGTTTTTGTCTCTTTTGAGAAAAATGACTTTGGTAACCAATTCCTGTGTTTTTACTGATCTTATTCATCCATTTGTTAATTTTCAAAATAATTTCCATGGTAAGTACTATTATGAATATTTAGTAGTGTTAAAAACTCTCCTGTATCCCCTTTAATAATTATATAACATGTATTGAAATTGGTTTTACATACCATTATTGGAATTTTCCCTGGTTTAGCTATGCAGTTAATGGGTTTTTCTCTGGCCTCCTGACTATCCATTGGCGACTTCTGACACTAATACAGTGGACCCCTGCCGTTCGGCGGCCGCAACTTTCGTGAAATCTGACTTTCGGCAAGTTTTTTCAGCAAAATTTAGCTTCATGGTTCGTGATTGGACTCGTGATTCGGTGACCGCACTATTCACACTCAGTGTGCCATTGTTTACCAGCATGTGACCATCACCCCACTGGTTCATACAACACATTTCATAATAATTCATTGTTTTTTGTGCTTGCAACTGGTTCATACAACACATTTCATAATTCATTGTTTTTTTGTGCTTGCAACTGCTAAATAAGCCACCATGGGCCCAAAGAAAGCTCCTAGTGCCAGCCCTTTGGTAAAGAAGGTGAGATACATGATAGAATTCAAGAAAAAACTCATATCAAAGTACTAAAGTACAGGAGGAGGAAGAGAGAGGAGAGAACGTGCCTTCTGCAGTGATTCTACAATATGTATGATACTAAAGCAGCAGGTATCGATAAAGGCTATAGCTCCAGCCAGCGATAAAGTGTAGAATTAACAGTGTAGCAAGTAAGTTAAGCGAGTAAGCGATAGAAAAACAACACGAGAGTAACTCTCCTATGTTCGATGTGTATAGGACTGCTGAACATACACTGCCCTGCTATCTTCCACCACCCTAAACCTTTGCCAACATCTTCATCAAACTAACTAATTAAACTAACATCTCCTCCAAGGTAAGTGTAAATATAAAAGTGTAAGTATAAAAGTAAGTATAAGTGTAAATATAAAAGGACACCAATGGGAAATATGTCACTCTTGAATTTTTTGGGTTATCCTGGGTACTTTACACATATGCTGCTATGTATGATAATCTATGACTCACGAAATCGTAATGACACGACTGCAAACAAACCATACCACGAGCGGGATTTAAACCCGCAGTCAGAGAGTCTCAAAACTCCAGACCGTCGCATCGCTAGCTGGTCCAGTGCCTATCGTGACGGTCTGGAGTTTTGAGACTCTCTGACCGTGGGTTCAAATCCCGCCAGTGGTATAGTTATGATAATCTATGTATGTAACTGTATTTGTGTATACAAGAATAAACTTACTAATTTATAAATTAAAATGTAAATACAGTGGACCCTCGACCAGCGATGGCATCGATTAACGATAAATCTGACTAGCGATACATTTTATCGCAAAAATTTTGCCTCGATTAGCGCTAAAAAACTCGACCAACACTATTCGTTCCGTCTGAGACGCGTCCACTTCTGGCCAGTGTTTACAAGCCAGCCAGCCACCGCGGTCGCTTCCAAGCATACAATCAGAACATTTCATATTATCACAGCCTTTTTAGTGATTGCACCTGCAAAATAAGTCACCATGGGCCCCAAGAAAGCTTCTAGTGCCAACCCTACAGCAAAAAAGGGTGAGAATTACTATGGATATGAAGAAAGAGATCATTGTTAAGTATGAAAGTGGAGTGCATGTCTCCGAGCTGGCCAGGCTGTACACAAAACCCCAGTCAACCATCGCTACTATTGTGGCCAAGAAAACGGCAATCAAGGAAGCTGTTCTTGCCAAAGGTGCAACTATGTTTTCGAAACTGAGATCGCAAGTGATAGAAGATGTTGAGAGACTGTTATTGGTATGGATAAACGAAAAACAGATAGCAGGAGATAGCATCTCTCAAGCGATCATATGTGAAAAGACTAGGAAGTTGCATGACGATTTAATTAGAAAAATGCCAGCAACTAGTGGTGATGTGAGTGAATTTAAGGCCAGCAAAGGTTGGTTTGAGAGATTTAAGAATCGTAGTGGCATACATAATGTGATAAGGCATTGTGAGGCTGCCAGTTTGGACCAAAAAGCAGCTGAAAAATATGTGCAGCAATTCAAGGAGTACATAGACAGTGAAGGACTGAAACCTGAACAAGTGTTTAATGGTGACACTGACAATGTTGTGAAACACTTTAGGAATGTCATAAAGGAACAGGAGGTACAGGCCTCTATGGGCAGATATGTTGTGCGACAGAGGTCCAGTGACTCTCAAGCTGGTCCTAGTGGCATTAAAAGAAGAAGGGAAGTAACCCCGAAAAAGGACTTGCCACCTCAAGTCCTAATGGAAGGGGATTCCCCTTCTAAACACTAAGACCATCAACACACTCCCCTCTTCCCATCCCATCAGTCATCACCAGATCTTCAATAAAGGTAAGTGTCATGTAACTGTGCATGTCTTCTTCAGTTTGTGTGTATTAAAATTAATATTTCACGTGTTAAAATTTTTTTTTTTAAATACTTTTGGGTGTCTTGCACGGATTAATTTGATTTCCATTATTTCTTATGGGGAAAATTAACTTGACTAACGATTACTTTGACTAACGATGAGCTCTCAGGAACGGATTAATAGCGTTAGTCGAGGGTCCACTGTACACATCATCCGACTTACGACCGAGTTCGGTTCCGAGAAACCGGTCGTAAGTCGAACTTTACTACTGAATATCAACAAAACAATTTTGTAATGACTTTATTTTATTGTTTTATTTTGGTATTTCATGTTTTACTTTACTTTTTATGCTGTTAGTACTGTATTTTATACTGTAAGGTTAAGGATAAACACTGTGTACAACACAAATAGTTGTTTATTTCCCAGAAATTTGGTATAAAAAACACGGTTGTAAGTCGAGCAGGTCGTAAGTCAGATGGTAGCTGTATTTCTTATTTATAAATTAAAATGTAAATATTTGTTGTTTATAAATTACATTGTTTAAGTGTGATAGTGGTGCTGGCAGAAGCCTCCACCGCCACCAACACTGCTTCTCTTAGTGACGGCCCTTAAACCCAACAAAAACACACCATTTACTCCTCTCATACATTATGACATATTTTATTCATTCTAGAGTATATATCATGTTTGTGTTATTAATATTGTTTATAATGTCATGTTAGATGAATTGTGATAGATAAATAAGCCATAGAGATGATAATAGCATCATATTGAAGCATAATAAACTCTCCTTCCTCTTGCCTCCTACCTACCTCCTACACCAACAAGAATCGATAAAGGTTAAGTGTGATGTTAAATGTTCATTTATCCATTTTATTAGTGCTTTATATTTATTTGTCATTGTTTTCTGTATGTAAATCACTATATAATCTTTAAAAAAATAATTTTTTGTTAATACTTTTGGCTGTCTGAAACAGATTAATTGGGTTTCCATTGTTTCTTATGGGGAAAATAAATTCGCCAATTGTGAATTTCACCAGTCGGCAGACTCTCTGGAATGGATTAATCATGAAATTCAGGGGTCCACTGTAGTCCTATTTTAAGTAATTCCACTGCTCAAACTGATCCAATTCCTGGCTATTTTATTAGTGTGCCTTATGTTTCTTTAAATAAGCTCAAGAAACCTGCCCATTCAACTATAAGAACTATGCTATAAAGCACCCAGAGGTCAGTGTGCTGTTAATTGACTTATGAAAACCTGAACAGATTTCTGGCCCTGAAGACATTGGCAACCTCCTAGACATTCTTGGGGGCTACTAAAGAAATGGCTCTTTGTGCCAATGATTTCTCCACAACAAAAGGCTGTTTGAAAGGGTCCGCAGTAGGTCATACAAACATTTCCGAGACCAAAGCAAAAGGTGCAAGCACATCAACAAGATTTTTACCTTGATAGAGAGGTGTGAAGGTTCACTCAGCCCTGTCAGACCCTCATAGAGTATTTGACAAGGCTGGCTCCTCCTCATGGAAATAAAAAGATAGAATATTCAATAATAACATAAAAAAAATTATTGATCATTGAAATTAGTAAGGAATATAAAACACTCAAAAATGAAATTAATCCTACTTTAAGGAAAAATAAAAAATGAAATATATAAATGATTGATTCAAAGCTAATATGTACACAGTGATGTAGTGTAAATTGGTGCAGTGCCGATGTTGTGGGCAAGTAGCTCTGAACAGTGGTTGGGAACACTAAGCCGTTGTTGATGATAAGGGGGGGGGTCACAGGTGGACGTGATTGTTGAAAGCCGAAGACAGTGTCCCCAACCGGAGTAAAGACTCCTATGATGAAAGGGTGACTGATCCTCTGACCACCACAACTCCTTTTAAGCATTTAACCCTTTCAGGGTCAGTGCCGTAAATCTACGGCTGTACATTGAGGGTCCAAACCGTAGATCTACGCCATGAGCTCAGCTCACTCTGATAAGCTGTGAGTGGTAAATTTGGGCCTAGATGTGAGAGAATACATCTGTGGTATGTGTGCACCACATAAAACAAATCCTGCAGCACACAGTGTTTAATGAGGGAAAAAAAAAACGAGACCTTGATTTTCGATTAAAACAGCGATTTTGCAGTGTTTTTTATAGTTGTATTCTGCGATTTCTTGGTCTCATTTGACAGAATTGAAGATATATTACAGAAATAGAGATGATTTTGATTGGTTTTAGTACTGGAAATGGCTTGAAACTGAGCTCAAAGTAGCGGAAATGTTAAATTTTTGCCCATGTTCAAGAGTAAACAAACGACCTCACTCATCTAATACACACCAACTGGTGGGTATAATATACATTCACAAATGTGGTGATGATATTTATACAATTATTACAGTATTGCATAACAGTAAATCTTCTATTTTTTGGTTTGAATAAAAATTCATTGTGAATAAAAAATCAAAATGGATTTCATTTGTAAAGCCTGAAACCATAACTAATGAACAGAGGAAATGTTAGTTTAGTGCCAGGAATGCCTGCATTGTTTATTCTGGACCCTATTTTGAAATTGGAATATTTTGAACTTTGTGTTAAATTTGCCAAATTACCAATTTCCGATCATTTATTTAGTAGTTGAAACAGTTGACTAGGCGATTTCCTGTGCTCAATCAATAGAATAGAAGTAATACTAGTGAAATAGCTAAGAATTTGGTAGACTGAAATGTAATTGGCCTAAAATGGGAGTCGGTCGGTAAAATCGCCGATTCGTAAATATCGCTGACCAAAATTCTACATCAAAATTCGTGAGAGCATAATTTCGCCAATTTTCCATCAAATTTCATAGTTTTTGTTTTATTACCTTCAGAAAAAGATTCTCTACCATTTCATAAGTTTTTTTTTTTTTTTAATTCTTGGACCCTGGTGCACACTTTGAAATTTAGCCTCTGGACCCTGAAAGGGTTAAATTGCCAGTCAGGAAATCCTGGTGAAGTTATAACTGAGAAATGCTGTTTGGATGGTGGGTATCTGACTGGGTGGTCGGCTACGTGTGGAAGGGGGACCAATGTAGATAGAGATGTCAAGTAATGTCTATCTTGGAAAGATCAGTGCTGCCCTTAGCCTTATCTTGCATGTGCTGGATGACCCCAGCCAACAATCAAGACTAAAATAAAGAAAACAAAGTTACCTACCACTCAATAACTTGCTTACACAGTAGGCATACAGCCTTTAACCCTTTCAGGGTCCGTCCCGTAGATCAACGGCTTTACGTTCAGGGTCCAAACCGTAGATCTACGTCATGAGCTCAGCTCACTCTGATAAACTGTGAGTGGTAAATTTGGGCCTAGATATGAGAGAATACATCTATGTGGTATGTGTGCACCACATAAAACAAATCCTGCAGCACACTGTGTATAATGAGAAAAAAAACTGAGACCATGATTTTCGATTAAAACAGCGACTTTGCAGTGTTTTTTCATATGTTTTTTATAGTTGTATTTGTGATTTCTTGGTCTCATTTGATAGAATGGAAGACGTATTACAAAAATAGAGAAAATTTTGATTGGTTTTTAGCACTGAAATGGCTTGAAATTGAGCTCAAAGTGGCGGAAATGTTAAATTTTTGCCGATGTTCAAGAGTAAACAAACGACCTCACACGTCTAATTTCACGCCGCTGGTGGGTCTAAATATACATTCACAAATGTGGTGATGATATTTATACAATTATTACAATATTGCATAACAGTAAATCTTCTTTTTTTGGTGTGAATAAAAAATTTATTATGTGAATAAAAAATCAAAAAAGGAATTTTATTTGTTTAAAACCCTCAAAACATAACTAATGAACAGAGGAAATGTTAGTTTAGTGCCCGGGAATACCTACATTGTTTATTTGGACCCTATTTTAAAATTGGAACATTTTTTGAACTTTGTGTTAAATTGGCCAAATTACCAATTTCCGGTCACTTTATTTTGAGTCGAAACAGTTGACTTGGCGATTTCTTGTGCTCATCGATAGAATATAAGTAATAAATAGTGAAATAGCTGAGAATTTGGTCGACTGGAATAATGTAATTGGCCTAAAATGGGAGTCAAAGTCGGCAAAATTGCCGATTGGTAAATATCGCTGACACATCAAAATTCACGAGAGCATAATTTCGTCAATTTTCCATCAAATTTCGTACTTTTTGTTTTATTACATTCACAAAAAGATTCTCTACCATTTCATAAGAAAAAAATTAAAATTTTTTTTTTTGAAAATTCTTGGACACTGGGGCACCACTTCAGATTTTGGCCTTGGACCCTGAAAGGGTTAAATGAAATTGTGAGAAGTAAGACTTGAGTCCTGGAGATGGGAAGTACAATGTCTGCACTCTGAATGAGGGCAAGACAGTGATGGAGTGAATGATGAAAGTTTTTCTCTTTTGGGCCACCCTGCCTTGGTGGGTATCGGCCGACATGTTAATAAAAAAAAAATGATATAACGCTATGCAAGTCAAATCAAGGCAGTAATAAATTTTAGTGTAAAACCTAAAACCCTAAACAAGAGTGAAGCTCTTACTGAAACCAATTTAACCCAAAACATATAATTTAGTCAGGAGTGAAATGAATACTTAGATTGGATGGGAGTCGCAAGTCAAGTGACTAGCCACAGGTTGGAGACGCACTCATCATCTCCCACCGGGTGGAGAAAGGATGGGGGGTAGCGGGAGGTATGCACCCACCCTAACTGAACCAGCAGACTGCCCAGCAAACAACCACCATACATTCATACTTCCACTACTTCTATCTAATGAACTTTTTCCTCACAGAGCTAGTGCAGTGGTATAAGTTGGGATTGGTGGGAACTCCATGTGGGAACAATACCAGTCAAACTGTAGTATTCAGTACAGACTGTAGTCTTTATGCAAGTAATTAGACAAACCCACAAGTAAATGAAAAAATTAAAGAGGAAACAAATGTGTTGATAAGGATCAAGATATTCTGCATATCTGGATACTCTCTTGAGAGAGATTATGAATATGACACTTGCAAGTTTTAACACTGGTTGATAATGCTCAACAAATGACAGTGAAAAATCTTTCACTGATCCCACAGGCTGCAAACTGAAAGCACCACAGTCAAAGGGACCAAAATCTCTACTCTGTATTCTCGAGATTTCTTATCCTCGTTTACTTTCAGTTTTCTGTTTGTCATCCAAATCTAAGTATCGAGCAAAAGAAAGTAAAACAGTTTTGCATCTTTCACATTTAAAACCTAGAAATAGAACTGCATTGTTAGTGCAAAAATAACACATAGGCATCCAACAAATCATGGAACGGGTGGGACTTGAACCCATGGCAGGCGAGTCCTAAAACTCGGAGGCCATTGTGCTAACCACTGGGCCAGCTGACTTGAGTAAGATTTGCCTAACTTGGTATGTTTCTATTAACCATAGAGAGGATAGCTTGGGCCCCATTGTGACCACAAATGCAGCTTTTTTATAGATGAATCCCGAATGCCACAATAGTGGCTGTGGTGTACTGAAATTTCCAAACAGCTGTTCGGATACAGCAGAAGGCTGAATCAAACTTGGCACGCACTTTAGTGTACCAGTTGGCCACTGGGAGCACAAGTGCACATAATGGCAGCGCAATCTGGAAGCGAGTTTGTGGCCTTTGTGCATAAGCTTTTTAGGCCAGAATGTAAGCATTAAGTGAAAACTGTGTATATAGATATTGTACTGTAGTTGGTAGACTATACTGATTTATGGGGCACCTTAGTGCAATAATTGGAGACAGTTGTAGTGTGTAAAAGATGAGAAGGAATTGAGAAGTGGATAGGCCATTTGAATATAATACTGTATAAGGTTTCAGTTGGTAGTAATGAAGTAGGGCTTACTGTTTAATATTTTTTACTTTGATCAATTACAGTTTTATGCTAAGGAGAAATAACTTGCATTTTACAGAGATCTCAAAAACTTTGAGCAATTTAAGAAGAAAGATGAGAGCGAGAGCAACCATTCTTCACCACTGTTCTGTGGAACATCAGAGAGACGCAGTGCTTCACCAGTAACTTCACGTTCAAATAATGAGAACATTTCAGAAAATAGAAATGGTTCTGCATTTAAAAAAATAGATGGGTTAAAGACCACAGAAAATCAAATGCCAGAAACCTTAAAGGATATGAAGGTTTATACACCTGCTGACTCCCTTGGCAATCTTTTTGATGAATAGTTCTGTTGCTTAGAGTATATTAGCTATATTTAGGATATAATTATGTAATTATTATTTGTTTGAATTTTAATGGAAATTTTTTCTACATATAGGTTATACATCTGGGCACAACCTCTTCAGGATTAAGCAATAGCCAGATAAGACATTAATATAGTATTTTGTCTTTGTCTTGTTCATTAGTTGTGTATTCTGTCAAATATTTACTCTTCTTAAGACTAAATTTTTTTTTCTTTGCTGATGCTACATAATGGTCTAGTGAATAACAATAGCAAGTTGTTAAGTGTGTTTCCATCTAAGAAGGTACTGTCATCCTGCAATATGGGTGTCAACTGGCACCTTGTTGAATATTTTGCACCAGTAGGATTGCTGATTTTTTTTTTTCATAAGCATTTAATATGGCAGATCAATTTTGAAAGCTTTTCACATTGACTACACAACTATCTTGCTTTGTTTCTGAAGTTTTTTTTTTTTTAGCCACATCAACTATGTCAGTGTAGGTATTGTGCCCCTCCCAAAATGATATACCTTTCCATTATTCATTCAAGAACTGTTGGTGGTGCAATATGTTCAAACTGCTTATTGTAGTTTTGCTGAAACATAACTTCCAGATCTTGTACTAGTCTTTTTTAAACATCAGTGATGACATTGTGTACATAATTTAAAATAATTTTTATCAGTTTTTTTTATATCTAAAATTTTAAATCCAACATTGATGTTAGAATTTTTTAGTATAGGAAGAAATTATACGATACATTAGTGTGATAACATGTTCTTGGTTTAAAGTTTCTTATCTTTTAGATTGTAAAAAATGTTTCTTAACCTTTTCAAACATCAATTTTTCTTTAATGTTTTTGATACTTATGAAACCACTTGGAATTTTTCATCATGGTAACATTGCTGACATCACAGTTAAGTTTACCAGGTCTAATACTGTCTGGGGCCTCAGAGAATAAGAGTAAATGCTGGGAATGAGAGCAACGTGCATGATTTCACAAAGTTTGTGTATCAAGTATGTTATCCAACTCCCCGGTGGTGAGGAGTTGGAAGAAGTGCTTGATAGGTACCAAGGATATTGTAGGCATTTCCTCTCTAGATGGCAACACTGAGTCTGCAAAAGGAAGCTGGTCACATGGGGGTTTACTGTGGCCCAATAGGCATGTATAGGACTTAAACATAACATTTGCTACTATCTCAGTTTCAGTATCCACAGCAGGTCCTTGTAACGTATCCCCGCGGATACAGTGGTCCTATTGTACAAGAGAACTGAAATGCAAGTAATGCTGTGTTGCCATACAAATTTCTATTCCTCAGTCACACTAGAAATGTTGATTGATTCCACTGATGACATTTAATGCCTTCCCAAATATTGATTTTAGGTGTGTCATTTTTACTTGGTTTTTGTTTTCAAAGGAGGGTGCTTGTCTCAAGAAATAGGCTATTCTAGACAGTGTTACACATCTTTCAACACACCGGCCGTATCCCACCAAGGTGGGGTGGCCCAAAAAGAAAAACGAAAGTTTCTCCTCTTACATTTATTAATATATACAGGAGAAGGAGTTACTAGCCCCTTGCTCCCAGCATTTTAGTCGACTCTAACGACACGCATGGCTTACAGAGGAAGAATTCTGGGCTTACAGAGGAAGAATTCTGTTCCACTTCCCCATGGAGATAAGTGAAAATATACAAGAATAAGAGCTGGTAAGAAAAATAGAAGAAACCCCAGAAGGGTCTGTATATATATGCTTGTACATTCATTCATTCAGTTAAAAACAGAGTAGGGGAGTTAGTAGATGGGGAGATGGAGGTATTGGGTAGATGGCGAGAATATTTTGAGGAACTTTTAAATGTTAAGGAAGAAACAGAGGCAGTAATTTCATGCACTGGTCAGGGAGGTACACCATCTTTTAGGAGTGAAGAAGAGCAGAATGTAAGTGTGGGGGAGGTACGTGAGGCATTACGTAAAATGAAAGGGGGTAAAGCAGCTGGAACTGATGGGATCATGACAGAAATGTTAAAAGCAGGGGGGGATTTAGTGTTGGGGTGGTTGGTACTTTTGTTTAATAAATGTATGAAAGAGGGGGGGGACCTAGGGTTGGCAGAGAGCATGTAATCCCTTTATAAAAAGGGAAAGGGACAAAAGAGACTGAAAAAATTTAGGGAAAAACCCCTTTACTGGAACCAGAAAAGTGTACGGTGGGGTTTTTAATTGAAAGAATTAGAGGTAGACAGAATGTAGATTGCGGATGAAAAGGGGGTTTTAGAGGGGGTAGGGGATGTGTAGATCAGTGTTTACATTGAAGCATATATGTGAACTATTTAGATAAAGATGGGAATTTTTTTATTGCATTTAGGGTTTTTAGAAAAGGATATGATAAGGGGTTAGAGGAGCAATGGGCAGATGTTGAAAGTATAGGGAATAGGTGGTAATTTATTAAATGCTGTAAAGATTTTTATGGGGAAGTGGGGCTGGTTAGGGTAGTAGAAGAGAGAGAAATTTCCGGGTAAAAGTGGGTTTAGACAGGATTTGTAATTCACCATGGTTGTTTAAATATATTTATAGAGGGGGTTGAAAAAGGAAGTAAATGCTAGGGGGTTTTGGGAGAGGGGGGGATTAAATAGGGGGAATCAAATTCAAAATGGGAATTGACACAGTTACTTTTTGCTATGTAGTGTTATGGGAGATTCTAAAGAAAAATTGCAAAAGGGTTTGTGGATGAGTTTGGAATTGTTAAAGGGAAAAATTGAAAGTGAAAAATGAAAAAGTAAGGTGATGAGGGGTCAAATGATTTGGATAAAGAAAAAATTTGGGTATCAAATTGGGGGGGGAGGAGTATGGAAGAATGAATGTTTTTAATTTTTTGGGAGTTTTACGTGTCGGGGGGGGATTTTAAGAAAAAAGGTTTAATCATAGAAAATTTATGAGGGGAAAAAAGGTGAGTGGTGCTTGAGGTAATTGGGGGGTCAAAAAAAACGTTTTCTATGGGCAAAAAAGGGGATGTATGAAATATTTAGTACCAACCTCTATAGGTGTGAAGTTGGGGGTAAATGCGCAGCGAGGAGATGGGTTGGGGGCAGGGGATGTTGTTTAAGGGGAATGTGTGGTGAAATATTATGCAGAAAATTCGGAGTGTGGGAAAATTTGGAGAAGGTTGGAGTTAATAAAAAATATTAGTCAGGGGGGCAGAGGGGGGGTTGTTGAGGTGTTTGGTCTTTTTTGAGGAATGGATCAAAAAGAATGACATGGAAAGCATATAAAACTAAGGGGGAAGGGAAAGGGGGGTAGGGGTCCCTGAAAGGGTTGGAGAGAGGGGGGGAAAGGGGTTTTTTTGGGTAAGGGGGGGGACTTCCAGCAAGCGTGCGTGAGAGTGTTAGATAGGAGTGAATGGAGAGACGAATGGTACTTGGGACCTGACGATCTGTTGGAGTGTGAGCAGGGTAATATTTAGTGAAGGGATTCAGGGAAACCGGTTATTTTCATATAGTCGGACTTGAGTCCTGGAAATGGGAAGTACAATGCCTGCACTTTAAAGGAGGGGTTTGGGATATTGGCAGTTTGGAGGGATATGTTGTGTATCTTTATATGTGTATGCTTCTAGACTGTTGTATTCTGAGCACCTCTGCAAAAACAGTGATAATGTGCGAGTGTGGTGAAAGTGTTGAATGATGGTGAAAGTATTTTCTTTTTGGGGATTTTCTTTCTTTTTTGGGTCACCCTGCCTCGGTGGGAGACGGCCGACTTGTTGAAAAAAAAAAAAAAAAAACATTCATGTGTAGTGTGACCTTAATGTAAGTAGAAGTAGCAAGACCTACCTGAAAACTTGCATGTTTATGAGACAGAGGAAAGACTGCAATCCTACCATCATGTAAAACAATTACAGGCTTTCGTTTTACACTCGGCAGGATGGTAGTACTTCCCTGGGCAGTTGCTATCTACCAACCTACTACCTAGGAGTGTTAACACATGTTGGAAGATATAAGGTGTTGTTAGCATCCATATCCCTCACTCTAGCCTCCATCCACTTCAGGTCATTCAGTTTCTTCTTGAGGACTGTCAATATCCTGATGACCCCTTTGGTTCTAATAGTCATTATTAAATCCTTGTTTGTTGGGATTATTTCACATTTGGAAGAGTTTAGAAAGAGTTCCAAATCTTCTCCCTGTGATTCCACCAGGGACTTCACCATATCTCCGAGTGCACCATTATTCAGGTTGCATATGTTGAGTTTGCTGGCTGAGAGTTCTTACTTCAGTAAATAAATAAATTCATAATAAAGCAGGGAGTATGGAGGAAGTGAATGTGTTTAGATATTTGGGAGTGAACTTGTCAGCAGATGGGAATATGGAAGATGAGGTGAACCATAGAATTATGAAGTGAAAAAGGTGTATTGAGGCATCTGTGGGGACAAAGAACATTATCTGTCAAGGCATAAAGGAAAATGTATGAGAGTATAGTGATACCAACACTTTTATGAGTGTGAAGCTTATGAATGTTGCGGTGAGGAGGAGGAGGGATGTGTAGCTCGAGTTGCAAATGTTTCAGTGAGGAGGTGGTTAGAGGCAGTTCAGATGTCATGTCTGAGGGCAATGTGTGCTGTAAATATTATTCAGAGAATTTATAGTCTAGAGATTAGATGATGTGGGGTTACTGAAAGTATTATTCAAAAGGCTGAGGAAGGGTTGAGGTGGTTTGGACACTGAGAGGATGAAGAAAAATAGGATGACTTGGAGGTAAGGCAGGGTAGGGGTTGCCATAGGAAAGGAAGGAGGAAGGGGGGTAAAGGTTTTGTGTGTAAAGGGCTTGGACATCCAGCAGACATGTGTGAGCATGTTAGATAAGAGTGAGTGGAGGCAAATGATTTTTGGGATCTGATGAGCTGTTGGAGTGTAATCAAGGTAACATTTTGTGAAGGGATTCAGGGAAACTGGTTAACCAGGTTTGAGTACTAGAGATGGGAAATACAGTGCCTTCACTCAGAGGGGTGTGGATATTTGCAGTTTGGAGGGGCATCTGAACTGTTGCATATACATGCCTCTGACAAGACTGATAGTGAATGATGGTGAAAGTATATTTTATTCACATCGCCCTACCTCGGTGGGAAACTGCCAGTGTGTTAAAACTTAACCCTTTGACTGTCGCGGCCGTATATATACGTCTTACGAGGTACCGTGTTTGACGTATATATACTCATAAATTCTAGCGGCTTCAAATCAAGCAGGAGAAGCTGGTAGGCCCACATGTGAGAGAATGGGTCTGTGTGGTCAGTGTGCACCATATAAAAAAAATCCTGGAGCACGCAGTGCATAATGAGAAAAAAAAAAACTCCGACCGTTTTTTTAATTAAAATGCCGACTTTGTGGTCTATTTTTGTATAGTATTTATGGTTGTATTCTCGTTTTCTTGGGCTCATTTGATAGAATGGAAAACATATTATAGAAATAGAGGTGACTTTGATTGATTTTACTATAAAAAGAACTTGGAAATGGAGCTCAAAGTAGGGGAAATGTTTGATTTTTACCGATGTTCAAAAGTACACAAATGATGTCATTGTCCAATAAATGTCCAACTAGCCATTCTAATATGCAGTCATGAATGGGTTGATGTTATTTATACAATTATTACAGTATTGCAGTAGTCTGCATAATAGTAAGTCTTCTATTTTTTGTTTGAATAAAAATTCAAAATAGAAAGCAAGAGTAATATTAGAGGGGCCTGGAGACATGACTGATGAACAAAGAAAATGTTATTTCAGAGCCAGGAATGTGTGCATTGTTCATTCTGGACCTTATTTTGACATTGTTATATTTTTTAATTTTCGTGAAATTGGCCAAGTTGCATTTTTCTGACCACATTACATGTATTGGGTAGTTGAAATCGGTAAATGGGCAGTTTCGTGTACTCATGTCGATAGAAAAATTGGAGTTCTAAAGAAATAGCTATGACTTTGGTCGACTGGCACAAAGGAATTAGCCGAAA